CAGGGATTCTTTGCGCACTCGTCGATGTTCACATCACAGTCTCGTCCATTATAGCCTGGAGCGCACACACAGGAGTAACTATTTATGCCATCTACGCAAGTAGCTCCATTCTGACAGGGATTCTTTGCGCACTCGTCGATGTTCACATCACAGTCTCGTCCATTATAGCCTGGAGCGCACACACAGGAGTAATCGTTAACACCATCTACACATGTAGCTCCATTCTGACAGGGATTCTTTGCGCACTCGTCGATGTTCACACCACAGAATTTCCCATTCCATCCTGGTCTACAGACACATGTATAACCGCTGTTGTTGTTTATACAGGTGGCGCCATTGAGACATGGTAATGAGGCACAAAAGTCTAAAACGACATAATTAGTAAATCAATTTACAACCAAAAACAACTTACAACCTTCTTATTTGTTACTAGCTGAAAAGAACTCTATTGATTTGAATATTGATTTGGCAACTTGACTTCGTATAGTTATGGTTTTGATTGGACAAAGTATTCTTCCAGTACGTAACGCTACCACATATTTGAAGAAGAATAAAGTCGTAATTCAGTAGCTATCATATTTAGTAAAGAGTCAGTATCGTGTGTGTTTGTCTTTAACACGGGGGAAAATTACGCCGCTGACAAAAAAATGATTTGAGATGCAACACTCTTAACATGTCACGGTTAGGTTAATGGCTAGTTATTTAAAAGAAAAGATATTCTTTAATATCCAACCTGGATATGGAGTTGGAGTGCTGGTGAATCTCGTAGTTTTCCGTGGTTTGTGAGTGGTTTTTGGTTTGTGAGTGGTTTTTGGTTTGTGGGTTGATTTTGGTTTGTGAGTGGTTTTTGGTTTGTGGGTTGTTTTTGGTTTGTGAGTGGTTTTTGGTTTGTGAGTGGTTTTTAGTTTGTAAGTTGTTTTAGGTTTATAAGTTGTTATGGGTTTATGAGTATGTTTTGGTTTGTGGGTTGTTTTTGGTTTGTGGGTTGTTTTTGGTTTGTGAGTGGATTTTGGTTTGTAAGTGGTTTTTGGTTTGCGAGTGTGTTTTGGTTTGTGAGTGGCTTTTGGTTTGTAAGTGGTTTTTGGTTTATGATTATGCTTTGGTTTGTGAGTGGTTTTCGGTTTGTAAGTTGTTTTTGGTTTGTGAGTGGATTTTGGTTTGTGAGTGGTTTTTGGTTTATGAGTATGTTTTGGTTTGTGAGTGGTTTTCGGTTTGTAAGTTGTTTTTGGTTTGTGAGTTGTTTTTATCTTGTAGGTTTTCGGTGGTTTGTGAGTCTTTTTGTGTGAAGGTTTGGGAGTACTTTTATGTGGATGTTTAGTCGTTTTAGGTTTGGGTTTGCGTTTTTGCAGAGTGTCAGTGGTAGGTTTGGTAGATTTATAATTAGTTCCAGATGTCGTTACATGAATAGTCGAGTTGGTTGTTGGCTGTACAGTAGAATCTGTGGAATAAATTAAATTAGGTAAAGAACGCACTATTGAGTCAAGAGTACTCAAACGCCGGCGATCTTATCAGAGAACTTACCTATTTTTGTCTCGCAGTTTGAGCCAGTGAATCCGGGGGGACATGTGCAATTGTAGCTGTTCACAAGATTGCTGCACACACCTCCATTTTGACATGGTTTGGAATCACACTCGTTTATTTCCGTGCATACCAGTTTATTGGGTTTCAGTCCTATTCAGTTTAGTAAAAAAATAGGTTTTACATACTTTGTCATGCATTATCCCACGGTTTTCTAGTTGGCAATTTAAAACAAAATCAACCAATGTAATTACAAAGTTAATGACGACAAACTCTCTTTTACTCGACGTTTCGCGCGATCATGCCTGAAGGCATCATTATCAAGATAGACAAAGCAATGAAATTGTTACAATATTAGCTTACGCAGTTGTAATTAGATACTTAGAGAAGTGATTGTTTGATTAAAGACGYATAACTATTTCCCCACCAACACGAACACGTCTTGAAACAGAAATCAACCCAAAAATACACAAAAATACACCCATCTTATACACCTTTCTCATAATGGCTGACAAGTGCACGAAAACGAGGTCAACTAGTCATTAGTTCATAAAATATATAAAAGCAAATGAAATGCGATTATTTAAGAAAAGTATAGAAATGGTCTTTTTGTTTTGATCTAAATTTGCGCTATCCGTCTCTATTTTGAATGAGCGAGCAGCCTTGAAAGATGACTGGGTGTCGTCGTCTTCGTGCGCTCGTCAGCCATTATGAGAAGGGTGTATTCCCTTCTATAGGATAATGAATCAAGATTCGTACCTGGCTTGTTGTGACCATCGTCATCACCATCATCGTCATCATCATCATCATCATCGCCGCCACCGATTCTTTTGCTGCACAGGTAGTAATTCCCCGTCGGCCAGTAAGTATAAACTGGGGCATTCGGCTCCAACCATTTGATACAATAATTTCCTTTAATCCAACTTGGGTTTGCGGTTATAAAGCGAAACCACCGTAATCGATACGGCGAATTATATGGCGCACACAGGTAATTCCATTTCCAATGTGAATCCTTGGTATTATGAATGTAGACGCATTTCATGTTTCTAATCTTTCCATGAGCCGACCACCGGAATCCCGGATCAGCTTTTTGACCGGAGGAACACAGGTAGTTGTCATCCCAAGTTGTTGACGTCGGTTCATTTGGTTCGTTGATCTGAAGGCACCGCATACCGGGTAATTTTCCATTGTAACTCCAAGCAAAGTCGGAGGGGAAATGTGGAAGTTGATCGCCTCCTTTAGAAAGAAAGGAAAACAAAAAAAAACTTGTCTAACCCTTCACAAATAACCAGGTAAACAGTGGCGGATCCAGGGGAGGGGTGCAGGGGGTGCGCACCCCTCCCTGGTTTGACTTTGTGCCCCAACTTCAAAGATTTAACCAAGAAATAATTTTTTTTTTTTTTCCCTTCTAAGGGGTGCACCCCTCCCTGAACGTACAAATTCCTGGATCCGCCCCTGGGTAAACAACAGAAACAAGCGAACAGGATTTCTACTCATAGTTAGTTGTAATGTTTTTATGAGGGCACGTAGTGACATCCGGGACAGTGGCATATCCTCGGGTGCCTGTGACTGACTCCCCTTTTCCAATGCCAGTTTATTTTTAACATATAGTTGTTTTAGGGGAATGGAGGTAAGGATATGATTTGTTGACGTTAGTGTTTAGTGACTCTCCCATTGACTCCATCCTGGGCATCCTGGGTTGAGTGTATACCCACTGCGGTATCTTACTACCTCTGAGAAGAAATATATCTCTTAACTAAACTAATAAGACGTAACGATTACGCCTGCATTTCAGACCGCTTGTCATTCCCCAGAGTATCATCTTTTTGTTTAACGATTGCGCGCGACTAACCTGAGGGTTTGTATCCTGGCTTACATTCACATTGCCCAGTGTTAGGGTTACAAGTTTGGCCAGACGATGAATCACAAGTGGTTCTGGCGTATTTATTACAGACTCGTGTTTCGCTAGTTGCTTGGCAGTTCGGTCGATCATATCGTATAGATCTTGTGCGTGTTTGCGTTCCTTGGCCACATTTATTGCTACAATCACTCCATGAACTCCACCCTTGAAAAAATTTATTTGAAAGAAAATAAATTTAAGAAATAATAATATTTGCGCGTTTGAGTAACATGTCATTGTACCACACGACCCAAAACCCTGTTGGCATAGTAGAATAAAACAGTAACTAATCAAAGCCATTCTGGTTCTCATCGTATTATTTAGCTGATCAGAAAACAGCAGCAGTTGAATTTGAGAATATCCCCTTTGTTTTTTTTTTGGCGGGAAACCAAACTGAACACGGGGACTAGGAGAGAGAGAAAGAGAAAACACTATTCAAATGATTATTTGTTTTTTTAAGGTCCGTACGTGCGCGGATCATTTCAATGACAAGGCATGGATAAATGCAGCTGTGCATATGAGTTTACTGAAGTCAAACAACTTAGCGTTCTTGGCGCGTTACTTTTTAAGTGACCTCAAAAGATCATTGCCTGGTATCTATGGTTACATGCAAGGCCGATTTTGTTACATGTAAACGAGGCATCGAGGGCAAAATGCAAAGAAACAATAGGGTGTCAATGCAAAGATACACTTGTTCACTTGTTCTGTCTTTCTTTTCTTCTTACATCCAGGATAGCGACAATTTTGCAGCATCAATTTATAAGACTGAAATACTGTAAATTTTTGTAAATTTGGCCCTGGATGCCTCGTTTTCAACCGGCCGTGCGCCATTTTGGGTTTAGGTGTTTTGTTTTATTTGGTTTATTTTAAATGCAAATGAAAAAAACACCACTCAATAAGCAGATATACGACATGGCGGAATAACGTTAGTCATTTTGGATATGGAGAGAGATCACACACAACATCTAAAGTGCTGTTGAGGGCAGGAACAATGCATGCATTTACACAATAAACGATTTTATTGTCCAATAGAAAAAAATTACCCTACAACACTGATAACGACCATCAATTCCGTGCAACTTGATTTTCGTCCATTAACTTAGCTCTATACTTTTTGCGCTCGCACTAAGTACTATTTAAACTGCTGGGTTTGTGTTTCTTTGTTTACGACGTCCAAGCAACAAGACCTTTCAATAGGCTTTAGTAATGACAAACAAACACTCGCCTACATAGTTCAAACAACAATGATAATTGATATTAAGAAACGTCATCCTTACTAGAGTATCTGCAATGATGGTAATCTGCGTATACCAGCTGAGAACACAGGCAAGCAAACAGAAGAGCTACATTGTACATTAACTGCATTGTGACTTCCATACAAGACCAGGCAAGAGGCAAGAGCTAGCTACAAAAGATAAGAAACAAAACTGAGCAAATAGAAATTGGTTTGGAAAGAAAAACTGTTTTACATAGCAATAGATGTAGAGCGCAATGCAGCATTTGCAATGTATTGATTTTTTTTTTTGCTACAGCCAACTCTCTTTACAGCGGACATCTTCGGGATTGTTACTTCATGTCCGTAATAAGCCTTTTCATAGTTTAAGAATCGATTCCACTGCGCATGCGATTTTATCCCGAATTTCTCACCTTTTGTTTAGTTAAGAACCAAAAGAAGGATTAGACAAAAGAAGGTGAAAAATTCGGGATAAAATCGCATGCGCAGTGGAATCGATTCTTAAACTATGAAAAGGCTCATAGCGAGCGTACGCAATAGCTAAAATTATTTACGGTCATTCCTTTGTCAGTGTTTTTGTCGGGGATTTTTCTCCTTTCCGTAATGGCAAGGTGTCTGTAATATCGGGTTGTCCGCAAGGCGATAGTTGACTGTACATGCGTTTGCGTCCATAACCACAATAGCCATGGCATCATGTTGGTTTTATTTTTTGGAACCAATTAGCGCTTGGATGTACAAATTTCCGGCTTAAACACTTCGTAAATAAACGAGCATTCACGACAGACGAACGCGGAATTTTTGTTAACCTGTTTCTGAGGATAAATAACGAGTTCAAGCCACGGCCGGGAACACTACTCGAGAGTCTTAAAGCAGTCTTGCTGCTGTTTGTTGTAATTACATCTAATTAACAATTAGATCTCTCGCCCTTCAAAGTCTTTCGTCTACGAGTCAATAGGCCACGAGGCCAAACTTACTCATCGGTCAAATAAATCACCTGATGTAAGATTGATACAGAGAATCCTTGAAATTAGGTTGAAAACGTGAGTTAGTTGGTTTTCAAATTGAAAGCCAGCACTTTTTGCTACACTATGGTTTATTCCTGATAGACCATTAGATTTAATCTATAGACTAAAAATGGTTCGACTTTCAAGTGTTTCGGATGATCACTTTAAATTGCAGTTTTGTCTTTCGTTAACCCATAACAAAACGCTTTCATAACTGCTTGCCTTCCTCTTTCTTTGGCTCTACATTTCATAGCGTATTTGAGCCCCGTTTCTCAGGCCCTCCTCAAACAAAAACAAAAAACAAAAAACGAAAAACTTAATAAAATAGTACTTTAGTAAACTGAATGAATTTGATAACAATAATGATTTTCTTCCTGAGTATCCTTTATCCCTGTACTTTTCTGTCGTTTCTCTTCTTCTCTGCCTTTTTTCAGTTCGCCGCCTTTTCTCCTTCCCTCCCGTCCTTCTCCGCGCTTGAAAATATAACTATGAAATGTTTTGAAGCTTCACATAATCGGGTTGCAAGAGTAGTTGTCTTAATTGTAATGTTTAAAAATGAAAAACCTGACTCTAAAAGGAACACAAAAGACTGAATACTGCGAAACAATGAAAAACGTTTCATCTCATTTTCCTCGATGAGTTTACGGGGGAAGTTCTAGATTGAGATTGTGTGGATTTTACGAACTAGCTTAGTTTGTTTTCAAGTCTAAGGTCAAGAGTAGCGCAAACCTAGGGCAAGAAGTTTTCTATCCCACGTACCTTAGAATCAGCGTCTGGTGCTTGTGTCCCTCGAGCGTTCCCCTCAAAAGTACTCAAGAGAAAGGAAAAACAACACTAAGTTAACCTGAGTTCATGGAAGACCAAACGTTCATCAAGACTTCGTGCCATTGTTTAGCACTTCAAACACAGAAAATTTGTATTATCAACCTTTGACTGCTGTGTAAATATTTCTTTTCGCTTCTCGGCAAAACATTTATTCACTTTTATTTTAATTCTATAGATTAGGAGTTGCAATTTTGGGGTTTATAGACATTTGATGCTGTACTGCGTCGGCTGATAAAATAATCTTTAAATAAGAGTCGTTTTAATTCTAAACAAATCAGACTTTCTTTGTCCACTTTGGTTGCTCGGCGTCATTAAAGTAAACACGAAGTGAAGGACTTTATGGAAGGTCTTGAAGGGGGTCCTAATACCATTTCCCAGCCATCATTTTGACCAAATCACACATAGTTCCAGCCTATGTTTTGCTCAAATCTCAATCCCATTATTTGATTGCTTGTGAATCTCATTCTCCCAGTGCTTAAAATCTCAACTTCCCAGCCCAAAAAATGTGAATCCCAGCTTCCATTTTACCCCTTCAGGACCGTCTTTATGTTGAGGAGTTTGGATTTTGATGGAAGTTTTTAATGTAAAAGACTTGATATTTGTAATTTTGTTGATAGTGGTCTTAAACGAAAGCATGAAGCGTAGCCTTTATGTTGACATGTTTGGACTTTGATGTGTGTTTTTAATATATGAAGTCTTCAAATTGATATATTTAATTTTGTTTTCTTTTGTTGTCAAATGCCAGTGATTATAATTAAAAGAACTAGCACACTTTTTCTCTTTTTAACGCCCACAATTTTAATTTGTAGTTTATGTTAGTTTATTGAAGGATGTTGTTTTTGTAAATATCGTAATACACGTTTAATATATTAGTTAAGAGACTTGATATTGGCTTGAAATGTTTGTGTCTACATTACAGTCGAGAAGGAATAAGATTAAAGGTCTGTAATGAAGAGAATTAAGAGGAGAGGAGAAACGAGCGGAGCAGAGCGGAGCAGAGCAGAGCAGAGCAGAAATACCCGTGAAATAGATAGCTAGCTAATTAATTACTAACCTCTGGTTGCCTAAGTCTTTTATCAAAGACGCGAAAGTCTCTTCGCAATCGTCATTAGTTTCGGTCACAGATCCTCCAACGGCTGCGAAGAAGACCAAAGGCGCGATAACACTAAGCACTGAATTTTCGCAACAGCGTTGCGACACAAGTTGCAAGAGTGTTTACACGTTGCAACGGAGACTCAATCGTTGCCAAAAGTAAAAAAGAATTATAATTTTCGTAACGATTGGTGCAACTTGTCTCGCAACCTTTTTTTAAAAATTTGCTCCTTCAATTCAGTAGACAGCATTACCGCACATTCTATCACATGCAGGTAATTCAGTTATTTATGAGGACTATGGTCAAAATTGTTTTTGAATCTTGACACAAAAGTTATTGCATGTTGGGAATCCTGTGGACTGTATGCGAGCAAAATCTGGTAATACGTTCATGTTCTATATACACCAAACTGCCAATTCGGACTATATATTTTTCTTGTATTTAT